CCTATTAAGTACAACATTCAGGGATTTCCTTAAGTTATAGCTGTTAGAGTTCTTGGTCACCAAACAATTGATTTCCCGCAACCCTAGATTATAATAAGCATTATATGTGATAGTTGAGATACGGAGCTTATAAAAATACCCTAAAGGCATCCAGCCAACCTTAGAAAGTACATCACTATCCTTAAAACTATTTGGTAACTTATGAATCAGCGTAGCAGCCCTGATGTGAATCATCTCTAGATCTTTAAGCTTGGGTCCAGACCCCCAAATCACAATTCCATATAGAACACTTGGAATAACTATCCTATAATAAAAAGTCTCCAAGATGGATGGAGATAGGAAATTTATTCGTCTCCTGTAACTAGAACATTTGCGGGCGCGCACCTGGCGCTGATTTGGCTGCTTGCTGAAGTGAGTATCTAGACATCTCTAGATCTGTGGATAATTTTCATTAAAATGTGCAATGTATTACTAAAAATGTAATAAACATCATTTATTTCATATTTCAGGTCACTTCTCCTCTACGCCCGCTAACTAGAAGATTCCACGGACTGTATTTCTTTTTGCCTCCTATAGGCGCATTTTTTTGAGTTCCAGCCCTTCCAGTAAAACTTACTGAACGGAACTTTAATTTACAGTTACTGATTACATCATCCTTAAATCAAATTTAATCAGCTGCGTAGCATTCAACCACCGGATGCCTTTATTTCTACATACATTGATTGAAACAATAAATCGTCTGACACACCTCGTTCAACGAATTTAGTGAACAGAGAATAATCTATATAGGTTCGACTTTTAATTCAAGTTCAAACGTTGCATCTCAAATGTGCCGAACTTAATGCATGAATTATAGGAGATTATTATGATTCATTTATTACCCACAACTCGCCAGGAATTCTGCGAATGCCCTGTGCGAAAAAGTCAAAACAGCACAAAAAAGTGGTGGGAGACAAAGGAATTTGTAGTTCTTGCTTTGCAAAGATAAAATGTAGTTGTTTGACGTGTGGTGATTACTTTTGTATGAGGTGTTAGGTTTTTGAAAACGAAGAGGGCATTCCTGGGTGGAAAGTAGGAAAATCTGTGGCATATTGTGGGTCGAGTCTCAATGAAATGATGGAAAGTGAATCAAGTCAGAGTATCATGACGAGAAGCCAAGATGACGAAGCAAAAGCAAACAGCAAAACAAAAGCATCAGCAAAACAATTAAGCAAACGCTCAATAGACATCTTCGTCTAGCAATTAAGTAGTGCGCCTGGGAATATTGACTGCGAACAGAGTTAAATTCGAAGGTTGAATCAAATGCTGCATTTAACTATTTTAGCCGACTAAAATGAGAGTTAAGTTCGGCACGTGAAATTCGACGTTTGAATTGGGCCTTAGTAATTTTCCTTAAAAAAAGTCACATTTAACATATTTCGTCCTCCACATGTCCAGGCTATCATTACCGGCTTCCAATTCGCTGCAAGAAGAGCTAGAAGCAAGAGCTTCGGAAGCCATTTTCCTGCCCACACGAAGTTGGATGAACAACGAAGGCGCGAAACTATTGCGCATTTCGCCTACGCATAGAGAAGAACTGGCACGAGTTTTGACCCCAGATCTTTCTCGACATTGAAGAGTGTTTCAGGTTTCAGAGGAACACGAGTACGGAAAAGCGCAGTATTTGTAAATGTTCGAAAACCCCAGTAGCGAGGAACTTTACGTCGAAAGGTCAAGCACATGTTCATTGCCCTTGTGAGAAGTGCGAAGATCGAGCGGTTTACCCAATGGTTGCATGGTGTCGTACGCGAAAACGGGTCAGGTATTCTGATGCAAATGTGGATGATACAGATGGTACCAAATTTAGCTTTTCATCACTACTTGCCAAATAAACACCGCATTAACAGTGTAAATAAACTCCATTCTATTCTTCACAAGGTTCTACAATAATCATTGGCCAGATTGATAGTGTATGCATGCTTGAATGCTTTCAATAAAATTATAGCTACATTTAGTTTCTATTTGTACATGTGTCTAACATTGAATTCAATAATGGTATACCATTGGTACCTCATGGTATATGTGTTTAGGAAATTCCAATAATCTTCCATTATTGGTAAGTATCTTGCTTGAACTTCTAATCATTATCCAATGAAATGCCAATATTGGCAGATGTTATCGTGAAATGTTCATCTACATTGGTATACCATTGTTATCTTATTGGTAAATGTGTTCGGGAATTCCAATAATCTTCCATTATTGGTATGTATCTTGATAGAACTCTCAATCATTATCCAATGAAATACAAATATTGGCAGATGTTACAGTTAAATGTTGATTGAAATTGGTATACCATTGGTATCTTATTGGTAAAGGTGTTCAGGAATTCCAATAATCTTCTATTATTGGTATGGGTGTTGTTAGGTTTACCAATAATAATTTATTATTATCCAATAAAGTACCTATGTTGGAATATCTAAATTTACATTTTTTGGTATATCATTGGTATAATATTGGTAACCTTAAAAATAACCAATAATATGCCAACGTTGAATTATCATCCCACATATTTACCAATGTTATTCCAACTTGAAATCTTAAATTTTTTCCTGTGACTGTTCAAAGAATGAAGAGGATAAGCGAGTTTTTCGTCCCGACGGCCAAGAGAAAACAAGGTAAGTTGAAGGGCATGATTATTCTGAATAAGTGTTTCACTGTACTGCGCTGTTAGCAGTAAAAATGGTAATTTTCTCCTGACCGAAGAAAACAAAACAATGTCTCACGGCTGCCCTTTGCTAATGAGGTCACTATTTACAAGGTTAAGTTTATATTTCCCTTATCCAACAATCAAAATACGACTTGGACTTTGAAATAGAAAAAACTGAAAGATTTTATCTTAAGACAAACGAAAAAAATAACACAGGCGATCTCAAAAGTGATACCCTGGGTACCAGAGGTTTTTTCTCACGGCCCGATGATACTTCACTTCGGCGGTCACGCGGGTCAAACAAAGACTTCACCGAAACCGGAAACCGGAACTAAAATTACTCGCCTAGT